TCGAGGGGTCGAGGTGGTAATCCACATCCTCCACAAGCTTAGATTTGCAATATTTTGGTTCTCGACTTTTTCTTCATTGGTATTTCTGGAAAAGCATGGCGATACTGGGATGGCATAGGATTTTCACGATGTTACATGGCATAATATATCGGGGGAAACGGAAACGAGTGGTCTGTTTTTCGGTTGGTATATTTACGAGACTAGATTAACGATTTCACGAGTGGGATGGTTACGTTTTGCTTGTATTATCACTATGCATCATGATTTGATCGGATATATCAGACGTAGAAGATGGTCAATGGACTTTAAATGCAAAGAGCGCGCAGTAACAGCCAATTATTCTTTGGTATGTTTTTGGGGAATATACGAATCGGTGGTATGGAAGGGGGTGAATGATATCAAATCGAGAGAAAAAAGTTAGATATACAGAGAATCAAATCTCTAAACTCTACCATACATTGCAAGCCAGACCGCGTGAATGCTTAAGGTTTTCCTCTCTTCTTGTTCCACGTAGTAAGATATTGTAGTCAATCGTGATACAGTGCTAACATGTTAATGAAGTCGAAATTCGGATTTGAACGAAGACCATCTTAACCACTAGTGAAATTGATCATCGATTATTTAAAGCCACTGTACAATCATACGATCGACTAATCCCTAACAATCGCTAATATACAACACGTCCTCGATCATATCAAGGAGACCGGGATATCTATCTACAATTCCGTTACTCCTTTCTTAATTCGCCCATTTGCTTCATTTCACCACTTTCTTCGTTGAATAAGATAAGGATGGATTACAACGTGGTTATGAAGAACGTTCTCGTTCCAAAAAAAACTAAGGGTTTTGACTTTTAGATATTCCCATTTGCGCTATTGTTCCCGTCCCCATTCCCATTTTCTGCCACTGGTTGCGTTTCTCCGGTCGGAGGAGTGGCCTGGGTGTCAGGAGGTACTATAGTCGCTGGCAAAGGCGGAGTTGGGTTCCTTGGAACATTCTTATCTTGTACGATTTTAATGATATAATCACCTGCATCATTTGCGCCATCAAGACCTCCTATACGCGTTTTAAAGTATTGTGCATCGCGAAGCATTCTATTTAATCGTTAGTCGCTTGAATATCAGAGCAAAAAAAGAAATTGACATACCTGGCCTTGGCATCTTCACTTCCTAGAACCACATCCCCGAAGGCCTTCCCCAATTGCTCTCTAAAACTTTTGAACACCAGTTCCATAATCATATTCACAGTCATATCAGGGAGATGCTTGTTCAAAACTTTATGCAACGTAAGCGTCTCTTTCGTCATCGTTTCCATATATGTATTGATAGGAGCATCTCGAGTCCCGTCATCCCAATTAATCATCTTCATGCTTTTGATATGGGCAGTTGCTCTTCCAGACATGATGTTGAGGAATTTATCGTAGATCAACTGTTGATGTTCAAGATACGCGCGGCGGATCTTGTCAAACTCGCCCATGAGAACAGAAACTGAAGAGCCCGTTCCGGCATTACGTCGAACGTATTCACGAATGTACGGAATGAGAACAGATATAAAAGAAGTGGCCTGAGCGGCGAGAGCGAGATGTTTGGTGGTTATATTCTTAAGACCTGCGGTAGTGGTGGCCCCGGCACCAAGAATCAGTTGCTGTACGCGGGAATTGAATAGAGTTAGGTAGGAAAGTATCGATGTAGCGATTTCGGAGGTCATGGATGGAATGCCAGTATTAAGGTGAAGAAGAGTGGCGAGACCGTGGAGACAAAGAATTGCAGATATGGGGAGGATGTATGATTGATCATCAACGACTGCTGAACGAGTTTGAGCTTTACTAGGTGCAGAGGTAGAATTGGGTGTCGATGTTCCATTTTTTTGGTTACCATTCGATGGGGGCGTGAGGAAAGTTTGAGTCCCGATGGATGAATCAGTACAAGGCTGCCATACTTTGCTACCAGAGCTCCAGGCTTCGACATCTTGCGTGCTAGCGGAAAGTATTCTAGACAAGAGTTCCTTATCTTCATCAGTGAAATCTTTGGCATTCCAAGGATCTGCTTCCATGCCTGTGGCAAGACTTTGCCGCTCTGATTCGCCTAGTTGTTGGACGTAATCTTTGATGTGGCCATTGACCACATTTTTTAGTGAAGTTCCACTTCTACCTGATACAGCTTCGCATTCATTTGCGAAAAGTAAGTTTAGCGTGAAATATCTTAGAAACCTTTCAACCGAGAGATGAGTGCTTTGTTCTGTCCTTACTCTCAGAACCTTGACTATTTTATCTTGAGCAATATCGACGGCTTGTCCGAGAAGATTAGACATATCTAGCGTCTGGTGCATTTCTTCTTGCAGCTCTCTACCAGAATTACCCCTTAGGCTGGGGCTCATCCTAGCATTTATTGACCCGATAACTGGACTTCTTGGTGGCGATTTTACTCCCCCGGGAGTGTCAGGATCCCCAAGAGTACTAGTGACATCTAAAAGTACCTTCACTTGAGTTCCCAGCCTTCTTAAAGTCTCGCCAACTTGGATGTAGGTTTTCTTCAGGAGCTCTTCAGCATCATCTGGATCTAATGAACGTAAATTGCGAGCTAATATCATAGACTTCTCTTGTTGGTTCTTTTGCCTAGCACCTCCAACCGTGGATGCCGACATCATAGAATCGGTATCGTCATCATTAGAACTAGGAAGGAAGCGTCGTATAATATTTCGCACCTCTCGCAACACGGCCTCTCTAAACGCAGAAGTTGCAACCGAAGTACATTTTGCCCTATACAAGCCGCCTAGGTTCGATAACAATTCTGTCCGAAATTGGTCAGGAACCGTAAGATATGTGGGCTGTTGCGACGATGTTTCGCGACTGTGATTGCCTCTTGATCTTAAAGATGCATTGCTCCAACGCTGTAGTGTATCCTCGGCAGACACCGTATCAACATGTCGTCTAAGATCACCAAGTAGCGCTTGAAGAAACCTAGACTCGAAGCTTTTTCCAATTCGGTAGCGCAAAACATCCAAATCGTTGTTCACTCCTTGCAAAGCAATGGCACCTCTCAAGTCTCGGAGTTGTATCTTATGCTGGCCTGGTTTGCTCAGCATCTCCTCACCTGCGATAAGTTTCTCCAGCGCGTCGATAGCATCTAACGCCTGCTCCACATCACCATTCTCCACCATTGATTCACAACTCGCAACGGCATTTACTATTTGTTTCAGTTGCTGAACTGCATCGTTCAATTGCTTCAGATTCTCTCTCCTTCTTTGCAGATTTACAATCTTTAATCCACCCACAGCCATTTCTTCATCTAACTCTTCCAATTCCTTTCTCAGTGTTTTGATCCTCTCTACGGAAACTGCTGCTTCAGAATGAAGTTCTCTCAACGATCCCAATGCCGCGAAAAAAGAAGTTGAGGCTGTAGATATTGAAGATATTAGATGCACCTCAATAGTGTCCATATACCATGATAACTTCTCTTGTAGAATAGCATTCGTAGCTAGTGCCTTTCTGGGGTTAATTATGGAGCCATTGCTTGCTCGACGTTCATCCGGAGAGCCGGTAGTCGGCCGGATAACCTCTGAGCGTTCGCTGACAACGTCAAAAGTTCTAGGGTTTTCTAAATGGAAGTCCTCCTCAAAATACACGCTGGGAACTGTAGAAATGGGAGTCGGCGCATGTAAAGCTCTTCTTCCACTGCTCGACTTTTTCCTAGCCGATCCCGAAGGAGTGTCCAGCGATGCAAGAGAAGCCAGAGAAGACTTCCTAGAAAGTTTCGGTGTCCGCACCTCAAAGTCTAGGATATCCGCAAAATCGTCCGCCTTGTTGCCTTTCCGTAGCAATTGAGTTCCCCCCTCTTCCTCATTCTCTTTCGCTCTTTGTAATGCATCATAAGTTGCCCCTACCTGGGTTAAATACGACTTAAATTCCGAAGGGTCGACATGGGGTATATTTGTGAGAGTTACTGGGGGTATATCTCGAGCCGTCGGAGGTTTATGTGCACTCGATGCGGGGGCAGAAGTGTGGGGAATAAGGCCAGTTCGAACGATCGGTGGTTGGAGTAAAGTAGATATAGCTTGCACTTGTTAGTTTCTTAGTTTCCCCGTCCGTTCTCAAAACATACCGTTCTGCCCAGATTCATTGAACCCGTGCCATTGTGAGACCGAATCCAATGTCCCCCCTATCGAATGTATCGAGCTAGCTGTCGACCCGCGCCTTGGATAAAGTCTGCTATTGGAGGAACCTGGTCTGCCTGTCATCAGCATTTTGATCTCACTTGATTCTGGGTTGCGCAACAAACCTTGGGAAAGGATATTCATTCCGACCTCCAGGAGAAGTAGGGGAAAGATTCTCCACAGAAAACCGCGATGCCGGGGAATGATCCATGGTTCTAATTATGTATTGATCACCATACAACGAGCCTCAACCTCCCCCACAGCCGCGCAATCTCAATCTATAACCGGCAACAGCAGAGAAGCGAATTAAAAAGCAGCCAAGAGAAAGCCTTCCTTCAAACTATTTAATACAGGCCACGGAGGCGCATTCGTAAGCTATTTAGTAGTCAACACGAATTTGTTGACAAACCAATCGTTATGGGGGTATCATTGCTGGTAAAAGGAAAGCTGAGGGAAAGAGTGTATCAAAATTGGCATATCGTAGAAGCGTACAAGTTGCATATTCATTAATTCATTGATTGTTCCATTTGTACGAAGGTTCATTGATGTTTCCGTTCTTTCAGCCTTCCGTTGATACAACGATATTCGTTATCATCATTTGATTGGTCTGTCGGGATGATGAGGCTGAGCGTCGAGGCTAGAGCTGGTGAGGTTTAAACTGTGGCTAGTGAGCAGTTCTATGCAACCACTTTACACGAATCGGTCGCGTTCAAAAAAGGAGAAACGCGTCTTATCAAAAACCTCAGGATCTGCCCACTTAGCAACAGCAGGACAACAGATCAAATATCAACACTGCCAATAGCCCCGCAATTTCATATTCAACACCACAAAAATATACCGACAATAAGATGGATCGTCAATCTGTATTTTCTCTGAGTGTTTTACCTCCTGAGTATGGCGACAATGAAGATACAAGAGGTCAAGTGCAATCTCAACTAGAACAATTTATTCTTCAGTTCCGCATTGACAATGCCTTCATCTACAGGTAGGAAGCAATTCACTGTCTGCGATATCCTGCTAATAAGTCCACACAGAGATCAAATCCGAGAAAATGTTCTGTTAAAACAATACTTTTGCGACGTTGATGTTGGGCATTTGATATCCTTTAATGAAGAGCTTGCACACCGACTTGCGACAGAACCTGCAGAGATTATACCCCTTGTAACAAACCCCTCCAGAGTATCCGCAAGCTACGTCTAACGCATACACAGTTCGAAAGCGCACTGAAGAAATGTACACATCGAATCGTATACCCCTCGGATAGAGATATTGTCCTTCCCGAGCATCAACTCCTCCTTCACTCCACAGCTTCAGAGATTTCAATTCGAGACTTAGACGCCCTCGCCATATCCCGACTTGTACGAGTACCAGGTATCGTTATAGGAGCATCAGTACTGTCCTCGAAAGCAACAGCACTAAATATACAATGTCGGAATTGTCGCTCTACAAAGATATTACCAGTGAATGGCGGGTTTTCTGGTGTTTCATTGCCCAGAATATGCGATAGGCAAAAGATGCCTGGAGATCCACCTTGTCCCATGGATCCGTATGTGGTTGTTCATGAATCTTCCCAATTCGTTGATCAACAAATTATTAAGCTTCAGGAAGCTCCAGATCAGGTCCCTGTGGGAGAACTGCCACGACATGTTCTTATTTCCACCGATAGATATTTGACAAATAGAGTGGTACCTGGTACGAGATGTATGATCACCGGCATTTTTTCTATTTATCAAAACAAGAACACGAAAGGCTCTTCTACCACTTCGGCTGTTGCCATTCGAACTCCATACTTGAGGGCAGTTGGTATACATAGCGATGTTGACCACACTGCAAAAGGAAATGCAGTATTCTCGGAAGAGGAAGAACAAGAATTTCTCGAAATGTCACGCAGACCTGACCTTTACAGTGTTTTTGCTTCCTGTATTGCCCCATCCATTTACGGTAACAACGATATCAAAAAAGCGATAGCATGTCTCCTGTTAGGTGGATCCAAAAAGATTCTTCCTGATGGTATGAAACTCCGTGGTGATATCAACGTTCTTCTTCTCGGTGACCCTGGAACTGCCAAATCTCAACTCTTAAAATTCGTCGAAAAGGTCGCTCCAATCGCCATTTATACTTCTGGAAAAGGTTCTTCAGCCGCTGGTCTTACCGCCTCCGTTCAACGTGATCACTCAACCCGAGAATTCTACCTCGAAGGAGGAGCTATGGTCCTTGCAGATGGAGGTGTAGTATGTATTGATGAGTTCGATAAAATGCGTGACGAAGATCGAGTCGCCATTCACGAAGCTATGGAACAACAAACTATTTCGATAGCTAAAGCGGGTATCACTACAATTCTCAATGCACGAACTTCGGTCCTCGCTGCAGCCAATCCTATTTTTGGACGTTATGATGATCTCAAATCACCAGGCGAGAACATCGATTTCCAAACCACAATTTTGTCGCGTTTCGATATGATTTTCATTGTCAAGGATGAGCACGAGAGAGGCAAAGATGAAAAAATGGCAAGGCACGTTATGAATGTTCACATGGGTGGTAGAGGAAGGGAAGAACAAGCCGAGTCTGAGATTCCAGTTGAAAAGATGAAGAGATACATCAGCTACTGTAAATCGTACGTATTATTCCTAGAAACCGATCTCCTACATTACTAGAGCATACAAAACTAACAGTCCGCAGTCGTTGCGCCCCACGTCTCTCCCCAGAAGCCTCGGAAAAGCTCTCTTCCCACTTCGTCTCCATCCGCAAACAAGTCCACGCCACCGAAATGACAACCAACGAACGCTCATCCATCCCCATCACAGTCCGTCAACTCGAAGCCATCATCCGTATCACCGAATCCCTCGCCAAAATCTCCCTATCCCCCATCGCGCACGAACACCACGTCGACGAAGCCATCCGTCTCTTCCTCGCATCCACCATGGACGCCGTCCAACAAGGTGTCGCGCAACAAGGAAGTCGCGAGCTCCAAGACGAAGTCGCACGATTGGAAGAAGAATTAAAGAAGCGATTGCCCGTCGGCTGGAGCACTTCTCTCGCAACCCTCAAGCGCGAAATGTGCGAGGGCAGAGGCTTTAGCGAGATGAGTCTAGAGAGGGCATTGGTCGTGCTGCAGAGAAGAGATACCATTGCTATTCGAGGACAGGGTAGTCAGGTTTATAGGAGCGGCGCTTAGGGTTAACGTTGCGAGCGTGATATTTGATGTCTACATGAATGAATACCTCTGCGTTTGGCGTTTGGACGAAAGAAAGAAAGAAGGAAAGAATATTTATGTTATTTAACGAACGCATTGGATGCGAACGGACGTTTCTAGTGTCATACCCATCTAGGTAGTCGCTAGTAATTATATCAATGTCAACACCAAGTACCCCCTCATCGGATATTCTTTACTATTCATGAATTTTTACCGCAAGAGCTTTCAACAACAAAACACTATTTATCCACCCATCCACTCCTTTACCCACCCACTTACACCTTCCAACCGAAACAAAAAAATCCCTTCCTCAATACATACAAATTCATTAATAATAGCACCTACTTCCTACTCAGAACTACCTTTGCCACACTACGCTGCTTCATTACATTAATTCACCATCCCATCTCACTATTGTATCATATTTTCTCATCATCGTTTACACTTCGCTTACACATTACTCATCTCTTCTCATGCTAAATGTATACTCGATCGGGCTTCATTCATCACCTTGATTGCCCAACCTGTAAAATTCAAAGTCTATCTTACTTCTCCCATCGTTTGCATGTGGCACGGTTGGTTGTATGTAGGTACCTAGGATAAGAGGCTAGAGAGTGAGATCGAAGTTTATTAAGTGAACTCCCTGATACGGGGATCTCACTAGATACCTACAGTAATGTGACAACGAACTAATCGTCAGCAAATTAATCACCACATTTTATTATGAATGAATCGATTTTTAGTCACAATATCAAGAAGTATGGGAGGTTGGAGGTTCGAAATTTCATTTGTATTATTTTTTGGTATAAAGTAAAGATCCATTGTATCCGAACGACTATAGTATATGTACCTGAGAACTGAATTTTGTATTATCGAGGACGTGACATGAGCAATATGAGCAACTTTGTTTTGAGTTCCAAAAAGATCCGATCCGCCGATAGCTAAAGAAAAGAAAAGAAAAGGGAAATGGGAAGCGTGCTAGCCATACCCGTGAAAATGATTGTGACCTTTACTCCTCCGCCCTCCTTCTAGATACCCTATCTAGATACCAGTGATCTCGTTATCGTTAAAATTTTCCGAGAGATAAGAAATAGTCATGATCATGAAGCCTACAACAAGAAGGCTGCGATACCAGCAACGGCAAGAGCACCGAAACTAGCATCAACCTTCATGGCAGCACCAGTGAATTGAGCTGGACTTGTTGCGGTGGCAGTACCGACGGTAGCAGGTGTGGAGGCCAGGGTAGTAGCTTGAGAAGGAGTTGCAGCTGGAACAGTAGCAATTGGAACGCTAGCAACCGGTGTCTCTTGGACTGGAACACTAGCGACAGGAGTCTCATGAACTGGGATACTGGCAATTGGAGTTTCATGGACTGGGACACTGGCAACTGGTGTCTCATGAACTGGAACGCTAGCGACTGGAGTTTGAGCTGGAACACTGGCAATTGGAGTTTCATGGACTGGAACACTGGCAATTGGTGTCTCATGAACTGGAACGCTGGCGACTGGAGTTTGAGCTGGAACGCTAGCGACTGGAGTTTGAGCTGGAACACTGGCAATTGGAGTTTCATGGACTGGAACACTGGCAATTGGTGTCTCATGAACTGGAACGCTGGCGACTGGAGTTTGAGCTGGAACACTAGCGACTGGAGTTTGAGCTGGAACAGTGGCGACTGGTGTCCCATGAACTGGAACGCTAGCGACTGGAGTTTGAGCTGGAACACTGGCGACTGGTGTCCCATGAACTGGAACGCTAGCGACTGGAGTTTGAGCTGGAACACTGGCAATTGGAGTTTCATGAACTGGGACGCTGGCAACTGGGGTCTCGTGAACTGGGGTGCCAACGGAAACAGTGACAACTGGAATGGTGACAGTTCCCGGAGCAGTGATTGTGTGAGGAATTGAGCTGACAATAATTGTAGTTGGTTCAGGGCAGTAAGTAGTCAAGTAAGATACAGTGATGGTACTTGGAGTTGGCTTGACAGAGGGAACAGGTGTGAAATACACAGGAGTTCCGACTGAAACTGTGACAACTGGGATGGTGACAGTTCCTGGGGCAGTAATTGTGTGAGAAACAGAACTAATAGTGATTGTGGTTGGTGCAGGGCAGTATGTAGTCAAGTAAGACACGGTAATAGTACTTGGAGTTGGCTTGACAGAAGGAGTTGAAACAATTGGGACAGTGACGGTTCCCGGGGCAGTAATTGTGTGAGGAACCGAGCTGATAGTGATTGTGGTTGGTCTTGGGACGTATGTAGTCAAGTAGGATACAGTGGTACTAGTGGTTGGCTTGGCAGTTGGAACACTTGAGGTGTAACTGACTGTGCAAGGGCTATCAAAATAGAGTTAGTAAGGCTCAAATACATCAAATAAGAGAAAAAAGAACGTACCACTTTGTGACAGTCAAGGTTGTGGCTGATGAGATGGTGTAAGTGAAGTTCCCAATGGCAACGGTGGTAGGAGATGGGCAATAAGTGGTGTAGCTGCTGACGACTGTAGTGGTCCAGACGACTGGTGTAGTCTTTGGAGGGATTGAAGAAGTAGAGAATGTGTAGTTTCCATGAGGAGGAACAACAACAGTAGTCTTTGGAGGCGCCGAAGAAGTCTCATTGCCATGAGGAGGAATAACGACGGTAGTCTTTGGTGGCGCTAACGAAGTAGAAGATGTCTCATTGACATGAGGAGGAACAATGACGGTAGTCTTTGGTGTAGCACTGGACTTGACACTGCTCTCGCTTGAAGATGGTTTGGTTGGGACCGAGGTGCTTGATGGATGTGGCTTGCTCACAGTGCAAGGACAGTCGGTAATGGTCAAAGTAGTTGACTTAGTGACAGTGTATGTCTGGGTTCCAAAAGTTAATGTAGTTGGAGTGGGGCAAACGGTTGTAAGAATGTCGGTGGTGTAAGTGGTCCATGTTGTGTGCTCGGTCTCTGTTGGCTTGACGGGCTTTGTGGTTGGTCCAGTGCTAAGAGGAACAGCTGGATGACTGGTGGTGACCGAGGAAGCGCTGCTGGCAACACTCGATGAAACTGGAGCAGATGGAGCAGAGCTACTTGGTTTGTGTGAAGAGGATGCTGGGATAGTTGGAACAGTTTTATCAATGGTGGTAGAGTATGTACAAGGGCTAGATGGTTACGTCAGTATTTTGATCAAGGCTTTCTCGGCTTGATGGGTCAAAAGAACATACCAGTCGGTGATGGTCAAGGTAGTAGGAGCAGTGACGGTATAAGTACTCGTTCCCATGGAGAAAGTAGTGGGATGTGGGCAGACAGTTGTATAGATATCAGTAGTGATAGTCTGGAAGAGAAGCGGTGTCAGCACATGCAATCTGGTGGGGCAGGAAATATCAACTGATATCAATGAAGCATCAGAGAAGACTAACCGTATACGCGATATTGGTACCGTTGGAGTACTTTTGACCGTTGACTACGGCAAGAAGCCCAAAGGCTGTGAGAAGCGATTGGAATGTCTTCATATTTTCTGATTTTCTCTCCAACGACTGTGATTGTATGGTTACAACAACGAAAGTGGGATGGTATTAAGATATTATGTTGATGGAGGGGGAGGTTGAAAGATGAGATTGATGTAACAAAACCTGAACGAGCGTGGTTATTGTTGATGAGTGATTTGAGGGAAGAAAGAAGAAAAGGCAGATGAAGATGGGATGTAGAGTTCATTAAGTAGTTGGCGAACTTCTATGCAAGCAGGCAGGTACGAGTTGCATGCATGCATTAGTGTTCTTTTTTCTTTTTTCTTTTTTCTTCTCTCTTCTCTCTTCTTTCCTTTTCTATCTTCTGTCTCCTTCACTCGGGACAAGATTATGTCAAAGGTGAAGTCTGGTACTAAGTCGGTAGGTACGAAGGTCGGCACCAGCGAAAACTTGCCTACCTGGTATTGGAGGCGTGAAGTAGTGTAGATAGTCGGTACTAGGCAAGCTCTATGCGTGTGCGAATGGGGAAAGAACGACCATCCGCCTCGCCTTGCCTTGCCTTTCTTATCCTACTGCGGCATTCCGTACCTAGTATTTGCACCTCATTCAAGATCTCTGGCAAAGTCCCGCCGCCACCTTTCATGAATGATCCAATCGAAGCATTTGCCGTGTGATACTACATACTACTATGTTGTGCTATCAACGTATCAAGGTCTCAATCTTCAGACCTTTCCCTGCTGCCACTCACTACTCACTACTCACTACTCACCACTCACCACTCACCACTTGGGAATAAGTTTTAAGTTTTAAGTTTGGATCTAATCTTTACGAGCTTCGATCCTCCACAAATGAAGAAGGAACTACTGCACATGCTGCATGTGCCTACTGGCTTGGTATGCATCTACAAGTGGCTGTACTTGGATTATGAATGAGAATGAGAATGATGAGGGTGGAAGTGGTAAGGAAAATCGAGATGAACATCGGAAGACTTTGGATTCTTAGCATAGGAGATGGGTGGAAACTTCGTACGCACGCCCCAATAAGATATCAACGGACGACCAACTACGCAAACTAGATAACGATGTAGCTTTGACTATCATTCATTCGATATCCACGACAAGAAAAGAAAGTACTCCAGGTCCGGAATACGATGCAATGGGTTGATACGATGATAATGATGATGATGATGGGAAAAAAGAAAGACTGAAATCTTTCTTCCGGATTCCGAACCATGTCTCATTCGACTTTTTGCTCGCCCACTACTCTGCATTGGATGTTCTTTCCACTTTTCCCCCGACTTCTAAAGTCTATTTTCCCGCACTTGATGATCCACTTGTACGCTCAGATCTGCGTCATTGGTGAGCTTGATTGATAGGATATCTATTTTGATCCGATGGTTCAGTCCAACACGAGAAACTTTCGACTTCCCAAGCACTTGGAGAAAAGAAATCCATTTACCTACTAGGTAGCTACTTGACACCTTTTACGCCTATGGCTATCTAGTTAGAGGAGGTAACGACTTCCATGTCCTAATTCTTACTTTAGGAGTTATTTCGAAAGTTACACCCTTTTCATTCGTTGACAGCTTTAGCACCTGAACATTTCTCGTACTTTCCATCATCTCTTGGCCAATCGCTGCGATGATACTTACTCAATGGCTTCACATGTACCTGACTACTGGCGACCGTCATCGCTACTAACATGGCGGACAATGTTTTGATGGCAATAGTGTGAGCTTGATGCGGGCCTTTACACGTTGAAAGGTGGTTAAACTTCCTCGCCCATGACCTGATTGGGTTGTTCTTGGGTCGCGCCGTCTTGCCTTCTTCTTAGACTCCAGGTACCAAATTTTGAATTGCCCTAGGTAGGTGATAGCCGTCAATGCGAAGAGACCAAATGTATGTTTAAGCATAAGTTACAAGTACGATAAGTGGGCGATTAGAACTCTAGGATAATCGTGAACTTGAACAATTGGAATGAGAGAAGATGGAAATCTTGTTAGATCGTTATCCACCCCCGGTAACGATTAGCGGAAAAGCTCGTCTCTTTCTGGTGTCGTGGACTCGTGGTGCCCCTCGAGGTGCCCGTCCCATTTGCTGGAATCAGCACTCCGATAAGATACTAGGTATTGTCTCCGGCAGGACGGAAACCCCGGGAAGTCAAAAATAGGCACTCTTTTCAAAATTCGAAAACAATTCAGACAATCATTTATTTGATACAAAAATTTGGGATATGTATGAATTTAAAGCCTTAAGTATACTCAATAATATGTGTTCTTCTAATCTCATGTAAATTGAGATCATAGTGAGGAAACAGAATATTAGTGTTTTCATCATGTGAATCTACCCGAGTGATTAAGTGTAGGGCTTCCTTCATCCATGTGGAGACTAGGTATGTAGTCTCGAGGTAGTGCACACAATCGTCCGTTTGCCAAGCATGTTATCTGCTAAGAAATCGTGGATGTGGGAATACGAGGAGATAGTGAAGTAATATCAATCCTAACGAATAAGGAAATCGCTGAGTTCATTGTGCTATTCTTCTCATGTCAAGTAGTCAAGCTTCATGCAAGAAGAAATGTCAACACAGTATGTCATCATGGTCGTCGGCTTGCTAATGCAATGTTATCGATAGATGCATTCGCCATAAAGATAGAGACATGAGGTGGGTTTGGTGATATGGGGAACGCAAGGTCGAAAGTTCACGTAGGGCTGGGGGAGCCTGGAGAGCAAAACTTGCTCTCGAACATTTAGCAAAGCGTTTATTTAGAGTATTGAAGGGATTTCAACGACACTTCCCACTGCTTCTAGACCACAAATTCGGCTTGTACAGAGTAGAAAGAGTGAAGATCTTTCGAAATACCCGAACCTAGATCACACTCTTTACATGGATTGGAACCGCAACATCGCAAGATTCTGATGCTGACGTCAAGTGTGTATTTTTTGGTGGACACTTCCATTCTGATTGATTTCGGTCCGACATAACACGAAGATCAGGACGAATGACAACAGCGAGTGCAAAAAGCCCAGAGTGCTCTCGGACGACGTTCAAAAATTGGTCCAGGAATATTCCGCCATCGGGATTGATTGCCAACTTCCCAGTCGATTCGCTCCTAGGAAAGCAACAAACTATCGTTTTTCGTCGGGGACGGCCCACAACACGGCGCGGACATCTATTTTTGTAATATCTTGGCTTGATAATCAGCCTGCTGTAGGTGTTGGTAAGTAGAAATACGACACGATCAAGCCATACAAAAATATGTGTGGCAAGCCATTAACGGACAGCGGATATAATCATCTTCTGTGGTCCCATCTTTTGAAAACGAAAAAACCATCAGTCCAATGGTTGTCTCGTCGATCCAAAAAAGACTAACTATGTCTTCACATGTCATCGAATGTCTTCAAGTACGAGGTATGAGGTTGAATAGGCAATACCTTCGCTGCCCGCTCCGGTATACGAACTGTCATCTAATGCCCATGATCCAATCTCGACATGTCGAGAATTTCGAGCCGTAAGAATGGTTCTGTATCACACATTTCCGCCGATATCTGAAGCTTTCTCTTTCAAGGACTTCGAGCCCTTCTTATGTACTCAGTACAACGCTGTTGACCCTACATCACGCGTTCACACGAGGATGACATTCGTCCACGTTCTAAACTTCACATGCAGCCACGCAACCTATGTTATTGTCTAATACTATCACAGATTTGAGCTTTACCACCATACAATCCCTCACACACCCATATGATTTAGCACAGTATGGAGAAAGCATCACCTCTACCTACTCTTTACGCTGCACACAAACTTCCTGACAAAACCTCGACACAATGATTTTCTCGCAGGCCCTGAAACATATCAATCTCTCAAAACACAGCATTACTTCTTCTTCTACTCTTTCCAGGCCTATATGATGACAATTCTGATTACATTCCCAATGCTACAAGCCTACAACTACCGGTATTGTATGGAATTCTCAACAATCCTGAGTCCAGAGTCCAGACTCTCTGTAGGCGCAGCAATGAACTCTCAGCACGGCCTGCAAATTCAAGAACGGTGTTTGTAATTGTCGATCCCGATTTGCATTACTTGATTTATGCACCTCGTCGGCTTAACACAAATTATCAGCACAATTGTCTCCACCTTTATTAACCCTCCTCGCCTCGTCGGGGATAAAGGAGAGACCTTGAAAAGATTTCTACTCAGAGTTTTCCTTTCAACCTTCTCAATTCGTGGTAGTCCCATTGTCATGGAGACTCACTCGGAATCTTCCATCTGTTTAATAAGCTCGTCAACAAGCTTTTAGGTCAAACATAAATCCGTCTCACACTTTTCTCGTTGTGGGATTTTTTCTTCACGCAGGTCCGCATTATGTGACGTATACTGGGGCGTGAGGACGAGAAGATCTTTGCAAATCTTTTCATCTAGATTCTATGGTAGTCGAGGAAGGATAAATGAATCCAGAATATCTATGTATACGAGACTCCGATAGGTCTGGGATAGAGTCTTCACCGAGTTCCCAAATCAGTTCCTCAGTCCGTATTAGACTATCGTATATTCACATGAACGAAATGAAGCATGTCTACATCCACGTCCCTCCACGTTTCCGTGATTTAGCCACCTAAGGTTAGGTACACTGGTAAGCAAATCATATCCGGCCATTACCCATATGCTTCAATCTGTCACCAACCAAAGTCACCAACCCTATCTCCTTCACATGCCAGTTTGCAAAAAGAAACCACGGATGCCCAAAAGCGGTGTATCCCTTCACATTTAACCCAAGCGTACGGGAAGAACCTCCGTTCAAGAACACGTCCAGACTCCAGCAGGGCAGCATAGTAAAATCTAGATCATGAATCGCTACTCTCCCCGGGGATCCTACAGTAACTCAATCCGAGTGGTTGTTTCTACAGAAAACCTTACTCAGCAATCGGAAATTACGATAGGCAGTCGAGGCAGCTCGTGGTTTCATCGCGTAATTTACCACATGTCGAGCCCCGCTATTACGCCGGTGCTCTGGTTTGAGACTTTGAGAATAGTTTAGTTGTTGA